CAACCCAGCGAAAACAGCACCCAACCCAGGGAAAACAGCACTCAACCCAGCGAAAACAGCACTCAACCCAGCGAAAACAGCACTCAACCCAGCGAAAACAGCACTCAACCCAGCGAAAACAGCACCTAACCAGCGAAAACAGCATACAACCCAGCGAAAACAGCACTCAACCCAGCGAAAACAGCACCTAACCAGCGAAAACAGCATACAACCAAGCGAAACAGCACCTAACCAGCGAAAACAGCACTCAACCCAGCGAAAACAGCACTCAACCCAGCGAAACAGCACCTAACCAGCGAAAACAGCACCTAACCAGCGAAAACAGCACCTAACCAGCGAAAACAGTACACAACCCAGCGAAAACAGCACCTAACCAGCGAAAACAGCATACAACCCAGCGAAAACAGCACACAACCCAGCGAAAACAGCACTCAACCCAGCGAAAACAGCACTCAACCCAGCGAAAACAGCACTCAACCCAGCGAAAACAGCACACAACCCAGCGAAACAGCACTCAACCCAGCGAAACAGCACCTAACCAGCGAAAACAGCACCTAACCAGCGAAAACAGCACTTAACCAGCGAAAACAGCACCTAACCAGCGAAAACAGCACTCAACCCAGCGAAAACAGCACTCAACCCAGCGAAAACAGCACTCAACCCAGCGAAAACAGCACCTAACCAGCGAAAACAGCATACAACCCAGCGAAACAGCACCTAACCAGCGAAAACAGCACACAACCCAGCGAAAACAGCACCTAACCCAGCGAAACAGCACCCAAACCCATCGAAAACAGCACTCAACCCAGCGAAAACAGCACCCAACCCAGCGAAAACAGCACTCAACCCAGCGAAAACAGCACCTAACCAGCGAAAACAGCACCCAACCCAGCGAAACAGCACCCAAACCCATCGAAAACAGCACCTAACCAGCGAAAACAGCACCTAACCAGCGAAAACAGCATACAACCCCGCGAAAACAGCACACAAACCAGCGAAACACCACCCAACCCATCGAAAACAGCACCTAACCAGCGAAAACAGCATACAACCCAGCGAAACAGCACACAACCCAGCGAAACAGCACCTAACCAGCGAAACAGCACCTAACCAGCGAAAACAGCACACAACCCAGCGAAACAGCACCTAACCAGCGAAAACAGCACTCAACCCAGCGAAAACAGCACATAACCAGCGAAAACAGCACACAACCCAGCGAAAACAGCACTCAACCCAGCGAAAACAGCACTCAACCCAGCGAAAACAGCACACAGCCCAGCGAAAACAGCACCTAACCAGCGAAAACAGCACTCAATCCAGCGAAACAGCACCTAACCAGCGAAAACAGCACTCAACCCAGCGAAAACAGCACCCAACCCAGCGAAAACAGCACACAGCCCAGCGAAAACAGCACCCAATCCAGCGAAAACAGCACCTAACCAGCGAAAACAGCACTCAACCCAGCGAAAACAGCACCTAACCAGCGAAAACAGCACTCAACCCAGCGAAAACAGCACCCAATCCAGCGAAAACAGCACCTAACCAGCGAAAACAGCACTCAACCCAGCGAAAACAGCACCCAACCCAGCGAAAACAGCACCCAACCTAGCGCTCTGGTTATGACGTCGAGGTTTCGAGTTTTAGCCGTATTCTGTCTAAACGTCTTAGTGGCATACTCAACTTTAAGGAAACGTAAAACGAATGATTATAGTATTTTCTCTCTAGGTCAGTTAATTAAGAAAGAGGCAATAAATCATCAGAGAATACATTAAAACGTTCAGGTTGTATTCAAATTTGTACGCATTCATTAATGAAATTTTGTTACATGAAGCTGTCAATAATTGAAAAGAAAATTTAATAAACGAAAAGGTTGTTTTATGCCTTTCTTTTTTTGCACCTGATTGAGCTAATGAAGACGAGTAACGATACGCAGTGTCCAAGAGGGAAAATTTTGTAGGAAGGCAATCTACATTCAATCTGTGTTTATGAAATAAAATGAATTTGTGTTTTTGTCTTACGTTTCTGCCCCCTAACGGATCAGACAAAATTCTGTAATAACTTGCTGGAAGTTTTCTTTTGTTTTTTTTATAGCCTGGGTTCGGTTCGGCCTAATATTTCTATTTTTTACCACCCACCGACAAACGTCCTACATTTGAGGGTATTGAACAGTGGGTCAATCATATGCCTAGTTGAAAGGTGCGAAGTATCAATAAAACTTCAATAAAGAATCGAATAAAGAGCAAAGATCTAGTTTAAAAATAATGGATATCAATGAGGGTACATTTCCAGGTCATAGAAAATCGTTAGAATAAGGGTCAATGCACGAGGAAGTAATAATTCAATTTAGAGGAGGGTAAGAAGGAGAGAGGTTGTTTTTTTGCAGATATTGTACCTCTTAAGAATTGTTCATATATATTTGAATTAAGAACCTTCATGTACATGTAAGCATTATAAGTAGTTTCCTATATTTTTTTTTATATTCAAAAATATATTATATGAAATGGTTACTTCTACTGGCCGACTGAAAAGAACAGTCAAAAGGTTTCACGAGGAATAGATTTCATGCTTCAACACCTAACTTTATCCACATCAAAGTATTAAAACCATAGTACGTAAAACGAGGTATTTATGCTCAGATGAAATTGATTATTCATGTTCAAGAGGTAGTTAATCTGAATTCAGCATCTTGTTGTGTGATCGCTATGCTTAGTCCGATAATTTTGTAGTCAAAGGTCTTTGGTCCTGGATTCTTGGGCAGCTTTGGGTCAAAACAGCCTAACCTTGCTCACTGTGACAGTTGCCAGTTCTTTGTGGCCAGATTGAGACTGTAGATTGCATCAGCCTTGATCTATTTATGACATAAGCCCTGAATTGTTAGATGATGCAGCATACGAAATCATCGTGTCCAACAGCTTGTGAACTGTCACAGTTGGCAGTTGTCTGGTCAGATTGAAACTGCAGATTACATCAAACCTTGATCTATTTATAACACGTGTCATTAACATTACTATTGCTCTGCTCTAAGTTTCAAATAATATAATAAAATATTGGTTATTTGGTCTAAACCTTCTCATGGTTTACAAGCACTCCAGTTCACAACCTCAACTGCCGTTATCTAATCCGACCAATTTCTAAAGCATATCTAACATTCAGTTATCTGTATTTGATTTCACGAGGTGTTGTACCATCTAACTAAACTTGGCACAGTTCTATTAAACAAGGAATGTTATATCGTCACACTAGGGGATTTAATGTTAAGAGGTAATTTCTATATCGTATAATTAATACCACAGCAATGTAAAGCTGGTTCTATGATGTAAAACAATATTACCTTCATCGTATTTCTCAACAGAGTTCGATCCGTTGTAGATGAAAATCAGGATGGCTGTTCCTAAACAAAATGAAAATGGAGTGGGTTCAATATGTTGATGTCAGATGGTATTTCTCAATAAACAAGTATTAACGAAACCAAAAATCCCAACAAGATATTGGCGAAATATTGATAGCAGCTAATGAACTTTTCATAAGAGGAAGTATATCAATTATAAGTGAGTTTTGAGCAAATTCATCCAGCTGTTTTGAAATAGAAAACAAAAAACTTAAATATTGAGATTCGCAGTTGCAATATGACATCCGCCTACTGTTTATGCATTGTGTTTATCACTGTATGAATTTGTTACAAAAAACACAAGGGAATATATGATGGTATAACACACTTCTATAATAACAAAGTATATAACGTAACAACACTATTTACACAACTATATTTTTTATTCTTCTCATCAACGGATCTCTTTCAATACCTAACCTAATCTATTTAATTTCTTTCACCATAGACTCAACACAGACGTTTTAATCTTCTGACTATTTATGGCGGATGAGTTGGCGAGAACTAAGATTCGACAACAGATACCATAACATTCGTCCTTAGTTGAACTCTAATAGAGCATCTGCCTTCACGCCAGCTCTTCTATTTTCTGTTAATTCTCATCTCGGTTTACTATGAACTCAATAGTTTTACCTACAAACATTCCAATGACTCATCTCGACAGATTGTTTTAAATAACAACAGGTTTTCAAGAAAAGCTCATCAGTTATCGTCAAAAAAGGTCAAGAAGTTTTAAATTCATCTTGTGGTTTATTGCACTGCCTGTTACAAGATGAAATTAAGAATGATATTGGTTTGGTGGTTACATATTTAAGAACAGCGAGTTATTAAGAGTATTGTCAAAAAAGGTTAAAGCATTTTAAATTCATCTTGTGGTTTAATACCGTGACCCAACTGTAAGTCAATTTAATGCCTGTTAAAACAATTTCTGGAAGTGGGAGTTCCTTCAATCAGTCTCTCTGATAGTTAAGTCACTAGTTTAATCAATTGTTAATCGCAAGATGAAACTAAAAATCATTATATAAGTAGTTAAGGGGTAATATTTGATTCTATTTGACAAGCATAATGGTAGAGTAACATCAGGTAATCCTTCCATTCATTCGATAAATTGGCACAGAGTGTCACAATGTTGCAAAAACCATTGAAAGAAAGGTATCCTTTAGAAAAAGGAACACCATTAGAACCAGTACATTGGTTGAAAACATAAATACAGGATAACTCAACAGTACAGCAGTACAGCAACAGATAAACTGTATTCTAGATCTTTTACAAGAAGTTTGATCTACTTAAAGTCACCCATTCAATTTTATTATTTTCAATCAAACAAAAAACAAGATAATCAATGAAGTTAAATCTGTAGTATATTTATATTTCGAAAGGTTCTGCACTTTACAAGTCAAGATAAGCTGCATCTTAGTCACATGGTACTCAATCATGAAACACCTGATGTTACTTCTCTTTGGAGGAGTCCTTTACAATACAACTTTTACTCTCGATTTTGTCATACTTTGGACGAGATTTTGATTAAACAGAATAGTTTGATTGTAAGAATGTTATAATTCGATGACGAGTACGAACAATGATAATAATTCTAATAAAAAAAATCTATTTGATGTTTCCAGTTTCCATCAACCTACCAAAATATTTATGATCAAAAAGATTTCAAAGTGGAAGCTAGGTTATCAGTATAATGGTATTGAATTTTTATGATGAAACCATTGTCTTTGATCTAGAACAGTGTCTGACATAAACTGATAAGCTAATAACAAGATAGACATACCAGACACTCTTCACTAGGTCAGCCAAGTTGGTGTCGTTGCTCTTTCGTTCTTAGCATTCCTTCGTTATCGATCTTGAGTCTGTTTCAAAATTCAAAAAAATGGTAGCACTCGTATGAAAATTTGCTAGCACATTACGATATTATTTTTCATGATACGATTTTGTGCTTTTAATTAATATATTCGATTTGGTTTTTTTATTCGTCGTAAAAGTTTTGGTCACCTTGATGTACTTTACGACATTGATTTGTTTTTAATTTCTAAATTCAGAAGAACATATAGATGTATAGTTCATGTCGTTCCATGCTACCGGAAGTGCTAAAAGGTTCCCGCTTTATTGTCTCTCTTGCTTTTAATCCCAACTTGTTAAAATTTTATTTCATTTTGTCACTTCGCTCTAGAAAACACATTAAGAACGGTCAAAGACCCCACTTCCAGATAAACAAATTGTCATTTTGCCTCGCTCTATTCCCAGGTCGTCTGCTATCTTATTAGATCTGGTACCATTAAGCTATCGTTTGGTTCGCCACGGAAACATTTACTACAGTGTGTCACCTTGACAATCTGGCTTCCTGCCAAAAGATAAAAGAAACTAATTTGATGCTGTCTGCTTCTATTATATACAGTTTCGCGCGCTTTTACTGTCATGATTGAGTATTTCTCGCCAAATCGTCTGCTAAGATAGGAAATGATTTTTTTTTGATTATCCGGTCTTTTTACTCATTTATATATCAGTACGTCTACAAGCCTTTTACGACTGGATGATTAGTACTGAAGTAATTAAGAGAGAATACTACGACCAAGGTGTCGCCTTGCCCCAAGATTTACCCGCGTCCATCAATCATTAAAACTGAAACTCGATCCGTCCAAAAGATCTTTTTAATTCACATTTATCCGAGAACTATCGTTTTTCATTTGAATTTCCGCAGTATATTTCGGAATTTCCGGAAGCTACTGCCATAAGACTTGGTAGACGTCGTCACAACGACACCTGTAGGCCTACGTTCTGTTTAACGTTCATATAGGCCTACTCGATGTTATCTCTTGCAAAAGAAGAAAAAATTTGGTCTTATCCAATATACAGATTCAGAGATAAGCCTCGCATCGGTATTTCACCATTAGTTATTATGACG